TATGAAGTGCTGCCTGCTAGGATGGGATGGGGAAATCCAGAAGATATACCCATGCCTGCTTCGGTGTCCTCCCCCACCTGATTGATCCAGGAGTGGCGGGAGCATAGACCTTGTCCACCCTCCCCCAGAGGGAGGGACCGCACCCTGACTGGCTTCCTCCGGTTCTCAGCCCACTACTCCGGAGCCCCAGAAAATGGAGAAGGGACTAACAGAGAGGGGGACAGGAACACCCACTCTAGAATGTTGGGGGACTCCCAGGTCGTGAGGCCAGGGACTTTCTGGAAGTGTTTATTCTGAACCCACCCGATCCCAGGGAGCTAACAGCGCCCTCTGCCGACTGGGGGATGGGGGTGGGGGCTCCAACAGAGACGCGAGCCAGAGGAAAGGAGTGGGCCCCGGGGGGGAGGATGAGGCTTCTTGAAGACCACCTCGTCACCTTGCCTCAGCCCAGCCGCCCGGCGCGGGCGCTCAGTCTGTAGCTCCGGGCCGCTTTCCCCGCCTTGGCTCGCACACGCTTCCTCCGCTTGCTCTAACCGGGCGGAATCAGGCGCCGCTGGGTCCCGCCCTCCCAGCCCGAGGTGGCACGGGGGCTGGGGGCACCAGGAGGACCCCAGGCACCCTGAGGTCCTGCCCTCGGCGCCTTCCCTTCGCGGGGGTGGGCGCTGCCTTCCCGGGAGGGGCCACGTGGCCCTGGCCGGACGGGGGGCTCGGCCCTCCCCTCGCCGGCCTGGTGACTCAGGCCGCAGCGGTTCCCGAGTCACATGAGGGAGGCAGGCGGCCACTGGGCGGAGGAGGCGGCGGGGGAGGGGGCTGCGGCTGGAGGCCGGGGCGGGGCCGCGCGGCGGGCGGGGCCGCAGCCGGGGCGGGGGCGCCGCTAGAGAGCCCCTGAACCGCGGCTGGAGAGGAGCGCACAGCCTCGGGGAGCGCAGGTGAGGCCGCGGGGCCCACGGGCGGCCTCAGTCTGGGTGGGAGGTCGCGGGCAGCGTCCTCCGCTGGGGCCCGCCCCGGGTCCCCGAAGATCCGCCGCGCTCCCGAGGCCCTCGCAACTTTGCAACTTTGCAAAGTTCCGGAGGCCCGGGCGGGGTGCGGTGGGGGGCCGGCTGTGCTTGTGTTTTGGGGGAGGTCAGAGCGCAGGGGAAGGCGGCTGGGGGGGGGTCGCGCTTGGGCCGAGGACCGTTTGTAGCGGCTGGCTGGGTGGGAGGGGGTGTTGGACGCTGGGGGGCTGGCGGGCCGAGGGTGGGCGTCGGGCTCCGGCCTCGGTCGGCGCCCTGGGATCCCGCCCGGGAGGCGGCGGGGCGGGTCCGGGCTTCGCGGCGGTCGCCCCCACCCCTCTCCAGCCCGGGAGAAGAGGGGGCTGGGAGACGTGGATCTGACCGCGGGTTTCCGGGTGGGAGGGGCTGGGAATGGGGGCGGCGCAGGGAAGGCCTCGAGGGCCGGCAGGGAGCACGGAAACCGAGGTCCCCCCTCGGCCGGTTCTCATCTCCCTGCGCTCCCCTCTTCCCCAGGCCCGGCAGCCATGGCGGTGGAAGGAGGAATGAAATGTGTCAAGTTCTTGCTCTACGTTCTTCTGCTGGCCTTCTGCGTGAGTGGGAAGGGGGACGATGGGGGCGCGCTGGCAGGGTGCGGGGAGACCTGGATCCGGAGTGGTGAGGGCTTGAGGGGCCGAGAATGAAGGCAGCTGGAGACCAGATGCGGGAGGAGAGCCCGGGGAACAGGCCTAAGACAGCATGGCCACCCCACCCCCTCCAGCTTTCGGGGTCGTCTGAGGCTTGTTTGGACCAAGAATGGACAGCGTGGGTGCGCAGCACCCTCCCCCTCGCCCCTTCTGGCCCTTCCTGTCTGGTGACCCAACTACTTGTGATACCGGGCAGTGGGGCAACCAGCCAACGGCCGGCCTGATGGCTATCGCCGAGGGCCTTCCCTCTCCTCCCCACCCTCCCCTCCCCTCTCCTCTCCCTTACCCCTCATTCCTTTCCAGTCCCTCATCCCTCATCACTCCTCTTAGCTGCTTGGGGGTGGGGAAGGGCTCTGCCCACCTCAGTTTGCTCCTGTCCTGGGCTCCTGGCTTCAGAGGCTGCTCTTTGTCAAGGGAGGGGCACACCACTCCTGCGCTTTTTTCTTCTCCTTTCTCCTCCCTGGCCTAGTGGGCCTGAGGAAGCCTAGGCACAGCTGATGAGGATGGGGCGGGCTCTGGAAGACAGTGAGAGGGCCGTTCTGGGAGCCCTTGAGGCGCATAGGAAGCACCACTCTAGGTGAGGAGTGTGTGCCCTGGGGTCAGGGCTTTCTGGGAACTTTTCTTTTGGCATTTGATCAAACTGTGGGGCCAGTATGGGACACCCTCTTCCCCTGCAGTCCAGTTTCCTGGAGGTGTGTGGCTCTGCCTCCCTGGGATGGGGCTCCCGCTGTGTCCTGGGTGTACCTGCTGCCCTCCACCATGGAGGGCTGACGGGTTGTGGGGCTGGCCTCACCCTGACCTGCCCTTCTCACAGGCCTGTGCAGTGGGGCTGATCGCTGTGGGTGTAGGGGCCCAGCTGGTCCTGAGTCAGACCATCACCCAGGGGGCCACGCCCGGCTCCCTGTTGCCCGTGGTCATCATCGCAGTCGGTGCCTTCCTCTTCATGGTGGCCTTTGTGGGCTGCTGTGGGGCCTGCAAGGAGAACTACTGTCTTATGATCACGGTGAGCTGGGTGTGGGGCCAGCGCGGGGGTCCGGGGCTGCGGGGAGGGCGTCCACGGAGGGGCCTCACGAGCTGAAGTGAGGAAAACCTTTATGAGTGAGCTAGAGGCTGGCTGGGCCACAGCAGGCCGCTCTCACCAAGACTCCAAACCTGACCCCTGTCCACCGTGCCTGCAGTTTGCCATCTTCCTGTCACTCATCATGCTGGTGGAGGTGGCCGCAGCCATTGCTGGCTATGTGTTTAGAGACAAGGTAAGCTGGGGAAAAGGGGAGGGCCCTACTTCAGAGGTCTGGCTGCTCTGATATGTTTGACCCTGAAGTTTGATCTCAACAATGCTCCTTCCTCTTCCCAGGTGATGTTAGAATTTAATAAGGACTTCCGGCAGCAGATGCAGAATTATCGGAAGGACAACCGCACGACTTTGGCCCTGGACAAGATGCAGGAAGATGTGAGTGAGGTTGCTGGGAGCAGGGGTACTGGGGGAAGAAGATTCTTATCTTCACATTGAAGGCGGAGGTTCACGTAATAACTTTCTCCTCGATACTTTTCTCCCGCAGTTTAAATGCTGCGGGGCGGCTAACTACACGGACTGGGAGGGCATCCCTAGCATGCCCAAGGGCCAAGTCCCTGACTCCTGTTGCATCAATGTCACGAAGGACTGTGGGGTTTCTTTCCATGTGAAGAACATCTACCCCGAGGTAGGGAAGAAGCTGAGCTAGCAGGGGACTTGGGAAACCTGGGAACGATTTCAAGGGTTGAGAGAGGGACCAGGGATGGAGTGGAGAGGGTTGGGTCCCTGGGATGGGGAGGGGATCTGGGAGTGCTAGGGGTGGGGTGAAAGGTACAGAGAGTAGGGGAGAGACAGAGGGACCGGGAAAGGTGGGTGGGAAGTTTCTGATTATGTTCTTGCCTTGTGTGCCTACTACCCTTCAGGGCTGTGTGGAGAAGATTGGGGGCTGGCTGAGGAGAAATGTGCTGGTGGTGGCCGCAGCGGCCCTGGGCATTGCCTTTGTGGAGGTGAGAGGCACCCTTGGGACTCATTCTGGGGCATCTGGGCAATAGGGGCAGTGGGAGGAGGGTGCTGGGGAAGTCCTGGCCTGGGGATGGGGGCCCTGGTTGTGTTTGGGGTCTCTTGGGTGGGCCTGGGATACTTTTGCCTTTCTGACTCCTCACCGCTCTATCTTTACTTTTAGGTACTGGGAATTGTCTTTGCCTGCTGCCTCGTGAAGAGTATCCGAAGTGGCTATGAAGTGATGTAGAGGGTCTGGTCTCTTCAGCCCCCTCATCTAAGGGAGTGGGGTAGTACACTCCAGGTTTTTCAATTAAACGGATTATTTTTTCAGACTGAAAAAAATAGTCTGTCTTGAAGAGTGATAACTTTAGCTTTTTCTTCTCCTCACCCATGTTCCTGTCCTCTGGGATCTTGTTCTGTATGCACCTCGGGAAGGAAAGGTGTATTTTGGGGGGGTGTTTGGGAAAGGCGGGTTTTGCTGAAGGCGCTGGTGGGGCTGGCAGTGGAAGTGGGGATCTGGGGGCGGCTGGGGCCCACTGTGCTCCCTGTCTCCTAGTCCTATACTGCCACGTTTAGTGCTGCAGTGTTCATGAAGCCATGTCCTGCAAAAGTCAAAGGGATTCCCCACAAAGGCCCTACCTGGGAGAGGCCAGCCCACATCTACCATGGGCATCTCTTCCTTGGTGTTCTGCCCACCTCTGAGGGCCTAGCAACTCCCTCCCAACAAAGGGGACCTGGCTCCTTTTAGGGTGGTGGTAAGTTGCTATGACACCTCTGTGGCCAATACCATCCTTCTTGACTTAGATAAGAGGACAATTTAGGGGTTCCTGGGTGGCTTGATCGGTTGAGCATCCGACTCTTGGCTGACTCAGGTCATGATCACAGGGTCATGAGATCAAGCCCCATGTCGGGCTCTCCGCTCAGTGGGGAGTGAGATTCTCTCCCTCTGCCCCTCCCCTCGCTCGCATGGTCTCTCTCAAATAAAAGTGTAAAAAGAGGGGGTGCCTGGGTGGCTCAGTCAGTTAAACGTCCTGCCTTCGGCTCAGGTCATGATCTCAGGGTCCTGGGATTGAGCCCCACATCAGCCTCCCTGCTCTGTGGGAAGTCTGCTTCTCTCTCTTCCTCTCCTCCAACTCGTGCTCTATCTCAAATAAACTCTTTAAAAAAAAATAAAAATAAAGAGAGGGGACAATTTAAGTGGGTATTACCTTTTTTCCCCATGGAAACCACCCAGCCTGGTCCTGACCCCTCTTCCCTCCCTCCCAAGGAAAATAGGTAATGGCCATTTGTACTCTAAACACCGAACTGCAACTTTACTCTTTGTAGAAAATAAAGGAAATGTCCAACGGTGCCTTCTGGTGGCCATTCCAGGTGCAGCTTCAAAGAGCACCCACGTGCCCAGTGGTTGCTAGTGGTTTTGCAGGTACTAAACAGGCTGGGGACCCTGGGCATTAAGTCAGCCTAAGGGGTAGCACTTAAATGGGGTCAGTCTCCCACTGGACAACTTCATTTCTGCCCACCTACAGTGTTTTGTTTGTTTAACAAGACATATTTATTGAGTGCTTATTTTGTGCCAGGCATCAGGCAGTACCAGGGTGGGAGCAGAAACAATGTGCTGTGGGAAGGCTGGATTCAGCAGACTGCCTGGGCGGGCTTGGGAAGGACCCAGGTGAGCACAGCATCCACCAGGCTGGCTGGCAGGTAGGAGGCTGGCAGCCAGAGCAGCTTGGCATCCCAGCCTGGGCTGTAACGGGTTCTGGGGTAACGAGCAGTCAGGGCATGCTCCAGGCACCTGCTCACCTTGGTCAGGTCTGCGTCACAGATCAGGTTCATGATGCGCTGCTGCACTTCCAAGTCTGCATCCCAGGAGGTGGTTGTAATCAGTGTCCCTTCCCACTCCAGCCCATGCCAGGCCCTGTCTTCTGGGTTCTGGAGCTGGTCCCCAGCAGAGGTCAGAGGGATCCTTAGTCCCTCCCCAATTTGGCAAGTGGGCAGGTTCCACATGGCCTGGGTGTTCTTCTGTGGCACCCCATTCACCCTCACGTCCTCCCAGCAGGCTGGTGTAGGACAGGCCTTTCTGGCACTCTCCTTTCCCCTCGTATGCCCGTGTGGGCCCAGATACTCACATTTGGTGAGGAAGGCCTCCCCATAGGCGGCCTGTGTGGCGGGAGGTAGCCGTGCCCAGCACTCCTGCAGTGTCTCCTCCAGACACTTGAGATTTGTCACAGGGGTTCGGAAGAAGCCAGGCTCCACGATGGAGACTCGGACCCCAAAATGAGCCACATCCCGCCTGGTTGGGGTAGAGGGAGGTTTCTGGCTTCTTGCCTTTATAGGAAAGGGATCCTCAGGGACTTGGGTGTGGGGGCCGAAATGGGAAAGTTATCACAGGCCAGGAACCGGGGTGTTGAAGGTAAAGGGGGTCCCTGCTGTCCTGGGATCGGGGCAAGTGGGCCGGGTATTTATGAGGTTCGTTTTCCTTTGTAGTCTAAGATCTAGAACAGGGGTCAGTAAACTTCTTCTTAAAGGGCCAGACAGTAAATATTTTTGGCAATACAGGCCTAAAAATTAATGATATCAGTCAGGTAGGTACTTACATAACCATTTATAATGTAGCCATTTAAAATATAAACACCAGGGGCGACTGGGTGGCTCAGTCGGCTGGGCATCCGACTCTTGATTTTGGCTTGGGTGGTGATCTTGGGGTCATGGGATTGAGCCTTGCGGCGGTGGGGAGTCTGCTTGAGATTCTCTCTCCTCCCTCTGCCCCTCCCCCCATGCACATGCACGCTCTCTCAAATAAATACTCTTTAAAAAAAAACAATAAAATGTAAACACACCATTATTAGCTGGTAGGCAATTGGCCACGTTTGGCCTAAGAAGCAGTTTGCCAACTCCTGACCTAGAACTACCCCGTTCCCTAGGTCCCAGAGCATAGGGTTTAGTCCTGGGTGCTGGACATGAAGGGTGTAGACTGGTATTTGCTGGGCAGACTGCACACACATCTAACCTCCTTGATGCAGATGCAGAAATCCAAGTATAAGGTATGTTCCATGATGCTGACTGGAAAATTAAAGGACCAAGGGATAGGGACAAAAGTATATGAAATTCTTAGCTGAGTGATGGTGAAGAAGGCAGGCTTCCTATAGAAGGTGGGCTAGCTGGGGGCACGTGCACTGCTCAAAATTCAGGCCCTGATTCCCTGTGGTACTTGTCAAGTGTCCTTTGTGCTCTCATGGGACTTCGAACATTGTTATTTAATTTTTTTAAATTTCTTTTTTATTTATTTGAGAGAGTGAGCACTAGAGAGAGCAAGCATGAGTGGGAAGCAGAGGGAGAGGGAGAAGCAGACTGCCTGCTGAGCAGGGAGCCCGACGTGGGGCTCGATCCCAGGACCTGGGATCATGACCTGAGCCGAAGGCAGACGCTTAACCTACTGAGCCACCCGGGCGGCCCTGAACGTTACTGTTTAAATATGAAGGGCAGGAGAACATAAAGATGAGGGGCAAGCAGACCTGGGGGTAAGTCCCACTGCTTCCACTAACTAGTTGTGTGGTCTTGGGTAAGTTATGTTACCCTGTGGATATTAATGCCCATCCCTTAGAGGGCTGCTGGGAGAAAAAGAGGAGAAAATGTTCTGTAAAGGTACTAGCTCATCACAAGTAGTAGTTACTAATAATACTACTGGGGGCAACAGTTTAGTTGAGCCCTAAACTGTCTCCTCTTCAGGACCCCACCATGCTAGGTTTTAGTCATCTCTGCAGGGCAGCCCAGGGCTCTGCACCCCTCACCTCAGGCTGTCAGAGAAGGCCTCCAGGCCAAACTTGGAGACACAGTAGCCCCCACCATTGGCTGCCAGGCGACCCAGGACACTGGTGATGTTGACCACCCGGCCCCGGGCCTGCTGCAGCAGGGGCAGCAGGGCAAGGGTGATGCCGATGGGACCGAGTGTATTCACATTCAGCACCCGATGGAAATCATTCTGTGTGAGCCACGGTGTGGGCCCAATGATCCCGGCCACACCAGCATTATTCACCAGACCAAAAAGCCCTGTGGAGAGATGAGACAGATGCCACAGGGTAGGTAAGGCATTCCAACGCGCTCTCTCCCGATCACTGCTCCTTCCCCACGCAGTCCCTCCAGCTTCCCACTGCCCCTGTGAGTGAGCACCTGGCACCATGGCCCGGCGGCCCCGGCACTACTCACCTGCTTCCCCAACATGTGCTTCCACCCACTTGGCTGCCCGCTGGACACTCTGGGGATCCGTGACATCCAGCAGGGTGGTGTGGAGGCGGGAGGAGGCCACCCGCTGTAGGTCCTCTGCCCCTGAGGGGGTCAGGCAGCTGGCCAGGACTCGGAAGCCTCTCTGGTCCAGTCTCAGGGCCAGAAGCTGCCCGAAGCCTGAGTCACAGCCGGTGATGAAGACGAAAGCATCGCTGGCGGGCAGGCTCTGCCGGTCCCTGAGTGACCACAGCGCTGCCCAGAGCAAGAGTCCCAGCAGCAGAGGCAGCCACATGGCCAGAGCCCAAGTGACCGGCAGGTGGCAGCCGAGGCTGGGCAGGAAAACTTGTCTAGTTTACTCTGGCTCTTAAACCCTTGTCCCTAACATCCTCCCTAGCTGAAGTCTGGTCTGAGCAGATTGAGAAATTATCTGCTTGGCAGGTAACTGGCAAACGCTGGCTCACCTAAACAAAGCAAAGATCCAGGCAGACCCTGTATCTGCGGCCACCTCACCTAAAGCCAGATGAGCCGGGGCACGGGACCAGAGGAATCTGCTTGGCTTTCACCTCTCCTGCTAAGCCAGCGGCATCTGAATTCTCTACATGTAAACTGGGCCTTATTTTTGGAAACATGTACAGGGCAAAGAGCACGTCAGTCCTGTTGGCCCCAAACTTCTCACCGCATCTCTGAACCTGTTTTCTACCCTACCAGTGGGGCCAGCACCCGCCGTGGCCCAGCTGGGAGCTGTGGAGGGTCAAGGGCGATCATGTGTGAGGAGGCACATGAAAAGCTTCCGGCTTCGACTCATCAACACGTGTGAGACTAGGGGAGCCCCCTCAGAGCACCCAGCTCCCGCGCCCCAGCTTACCTCCTCTGGGGAAAGCTAGCAGGTAGTACAGTGCCTGAAGCTCCTTCTTTTGCTCCGTTTGAGAGACTTTGCTCCCAGTCTTTCCAGGCTCCCACACTAGCTACAGCTAATGCCAAAGTCCACAGTGGGCGGCCTGGGTCCTGGAAGTATTAAGTGTGTGTGTGGGGGGGGCGGGGCCTGGGAGGAGGAGCCAGGGAAGCTGGAGGCGGCAGTCAAAGCCAAGGCTTGGCACAGGCCAGGCATGCCCAGGACCCCTTCTCGGCTGTCTTTTCCAGCCAGGGTGCCTGATCGCCTCTGTCATGGACTACTAGGAGGAGGGATATGTCAAGGATGGGCAGCTGCCCCTCTCTGTTGGTGACCTTGGACCTGCCACTCCTCCTCCTTCCAAGTCCTGAAGCGCCCCCATGCCCAAGAATTAATCTCCAACCTGGTCCGGACTCATGACACTGCTTAGCACCAGGCTGGGAGAGGCCACGAGCACGTGGAGAAGCAGAGAGCCAAAGCCGGGACCAAGACTGCTCTGTGTCATATTTCTCCTCTGCAGGAAACTGAAGTCCTGAGTTAGGAAGCTTGGGGCAGGTGCCACTAACCTTCTCTGGGGAGGTATGGGAAACTTCCGCCCTCTGCTTATGCAACACATGCACCTGCACCAGGCCCAAAGAGGAAAAGGCGGATGGGATGGTAAGAGGACGCTGGTTCTACCCTTTACCCAAAAGGTAACTGTCACTTAGGGAAGCAGTCTTTGAATCTTCCACTCCTACCCACCACGCTGGGCTAGCAGCTCTTTGAAACATACCACAGAGAAACGGAGGCTTGTGTTTTATTCTTGGCCTGTCAGCTTCCCCCATGGGGGAGGTAGGAGGGGTGGTGTAGAGGGAAGGGAAGAGCGGCTAGGAGGGGGCAGACTGCAGCTGCCCTTTGTACACATACTCCAGTGCAGTGGCAATGGTGCGCATGTCCAGCTCGATGCTCCGAGCCCAGTTCTCCACGTCCCCGATTTCCTGGGAAGGGGAGGAGGTGGGAGGCTGGGAATCAGGGTGCGTAGAGTGTGGCTGATAGGGACACCTCCATCCATCCCCTAGAAAGGGCTTTGCTTGAACCCACCGACTACTTTTATCTCTCTAGCTTCTCGGACACTGGGGCCATAGATACCATTTCCGGGACCATCCCCATTTCCTTTGTAACCTGAGGCCTGAGCTGACCTGACTGGAGGCAGTCAACAGGGTCCCAGTGCTGTAGGGAGTGTGGCCCACCTTGAGCGCCTGATTGAAGTTCTCCACCATCCCGATCCACTGGCCTGTTTGCTTGGCAAACTGGGCAGCCTGGACCTGTAGGGTCTTCACTTCATGGTCCAGCTTTCTCTGGTTCATGTAGGCCTGGGCCACACTAGAGGTTGGAAGAAGGATGAGATCAACTCACCCACTGGTGGGGACTGGTCTCCAGGACTAATATTCCAGTGCAAGGGTGGGAGGGCAGCCAGCAGCCAGACTGGGGAAAACCTCATGATTTTGGCCCTTCTTGGATGGGATGCAAATGACTACCATTCATGCAAATGAACCAGCTTCTTCCTCCCACTCCCAGCATTCCCAGGAGAGCCTGGCTGGGAGCTGACTGAAAACTTACCATCTCCTACCCCACAAAGGAATTCCTAAAGCTGGGTGAGAGAAGGGAGGATTAACCTGGAGGGAATATCCCTGGGGAAGAAGCTGGGAGGGTAGAGGGGGCTCAGAGAAGCTGGGAAAATCCAGCAGCAGGGAGACATCTGGCCGTGCTTGGAAGCCCAGGGATCTGTGCAAGAAGTTGGGAAGGGAAATTGAGCCCCTCCCTAAATCTGGGGTGGGCTGGGCGAGCAGGCCCCCTCCCCAGGAACTCAGGGTCAAGAGAAGATATCCCAGGGGCTTCTTCTTGGCTCTCAGTCTCTCTCCCAACCCTTCTCCTTTCGCCCACACAGATGGAGGAACACACACACACACACACACACACACACACAATCTTTCTCTCTCTCTCACCCTTTCTTCCTTCTGCTCTGGGCAGTTTTTCTTTTCTCCTCAATCAAGATTGTCTGCAGTTACCATTAATGCCATGAGGTTGCTATCCCCAAACCCCTGCTCTGCCCCCCCTCCCCCAATCTCCCCATCCCACAACAACTGTTCTCTCTCATTGGCTGGTGAGTTTTTCACTCCCCATCCTAAAGCTCTAGGTCATCTGGGAGACTCCACATCCGCTGCCCAGCCCCCACTGGAATCTGTGGGGGCTGGAGGGGGCAAGGGGTTGAGGTGGGTGGGGAGAATGGGAAGGACACCTGACAGGGGCTGAGATAGACTAAGCCTTTGTTTTCCTTTCCAGGGAACGAGAGGACCCGTGGGCAGCAACACAAAACCCTTTCTAATCTGGCTTTGGCTTAGTTGTCCTCTAAGCTGGAAGAGGGGTGGCCCCTAGCAAAGGAAGAGCAGAGGGAGAAGTCTGGGCCAGTCTCACAGCAGAGCCCAAGAGGCGCCAATGTGGGAAGGAGGAAAGGGGGCAGACCTTGTCCTTTCTCTTTGGGAGACAGCTTGGCCATAGTGGGGGGGGGTAGTGTAGGAGCTGAAACAGTAATAGCAGGGGGGCTCCCAATGCTTTAAGAGAGTCCCCTGGCAGTTCCTAAAGTCCTAGTTTTTCCTGTTGACCTCCCACTCTCACACTGAGTGAAGGGAGAAGTCTGGAGGGGAGGGAGATCAGAGGCCCCAACCACAGCCTCCTTGTCCCCTCATCTTCCCCAGAGATGAGTAATGAAGATGACAGTCCCTGTATGGCTCACTTGGGTGACTCAGTCTCTGGATTCACAACCAAGCTATTCTATTTGTCCTGGGGTGGAAGGCATCATACTTCCCCCTTTCTTCCAATCATCATCTCAGTACTCTTCTGGGTCACTCAGGGTCAAAAGACAATATTCTTTGCTCCTTCCCAAGTCTTTGGTTGTTACTGGCCTTCTCTTATAGGACTGTGGCAGGAGGTGGTCTCTGGAGACCCGGAAGGAAGGGACGAGACGGCCTGGCTCTGCTATAGCTCCTGGCGTAGGTTCTGCCCTCACCCTCACCAGCTGTGCCATCTCTCACCTGTCAGCTGCTCCCCAGGCCTGCCAGAGGGAGAGGTAGAGAAGGAGAGGGTGGCAAGTTTTGGGGAAGGGGGGTGCTTGCCCTCCTGCTGAGGCGACAGCTGCACTTGGAGGGGTGAAGGGAAGTGGGCAGATGGCATCAAGCTGTGAGCAACAGGGAGGTTACTGTGGGGAGGGGGGACTCTGGCCGCTTCTCCAACCACTGCAGCTGCTCCCCGGTTAGGGGTCAGAGCTGACTCAAGCCTCTCCCCATGAAGTTAAGCTGGCGGAGGGGAGGGGAGGGAATGAATGGAACACCTCACGCCCTCAACAGCAATCTGAGGTCTGGACCTTGTCAATGCCTAAACTTGTATGTGTGTGGGTGGGGTGGGGTGGGGGTGGGTGCTGATGGGGAGTTCATACCCCACATTGAGGTGATCCACCAAAGCTTCTGTCAGGCAGGTCGCTGCAGTGATAGCCTCTCGCCTCCTCTTCTCTGGGGATAGGGGGAAAGGGATTGGAGTGGAGACTCGGCTTTCTGAAGGGTGCTAAAGGGTCGCCACCCATTAATTACTATTCCGCTAGGTGCGGGAACATCTCAACTAATCTCACAGTGCCGGAGCTGAAAAGGACCTTGCAAAACAGAAAGCAAGCCTTTTCCTTTTATTGTTTTTCAAAATTTTTATTAAAAAAATTTTTTTTTCCCTAATTCTTTTCATTTTAGAGGTGAGTTAACTGGTACCCTGGGAACGGAAGCGACTCGCCCAGGGGCGCTAACGAGTCAGTGGCAGCCGCCCAGGACTCCAGACCCCCGGCACTATTTTCCCACTATCTTGGCTTGAGGAATGGTAACTCCCGGATTCCCAGGCCAGATCCTCGAAGGGCCCCACCCCCATTTCCGTCGTTTCAGGCCGCCAAGACTCTCATCCCAGTCGGGCCCCAACACCCCGGTCCCTCAGGAGCGTCCCTTCCCATTTTCGGGCCGAGAGGCTCCCTGGGCCAATCGGCACAGCGCTGTTCCACGCGCAGGGGCGGGGCGAGGATGCGGGGAGACGGAGCGTGGGGGGCGTTACGTGGAGGGGGGCCGGCTCGCAGTGTTGCCGAAGGGACCAGAGCCCGTTGGCAAGGGAACGGGATTTCCAAAAAAGCGCCCCCACCCCCTCCCCGCCGCCCGCGCCCACCAGCCCGCGTCCTTCCCTGCATCTGGGCCGTTACTCGAGGTCCAGGCTCCGGGCTGAGGCTAGGCCGCGGCGGGAGAGAAAACGGCGGACGGAGACGATCGGCTCACCCTGCAGCTCCTTGCGTTCGTTCTGCTTGGCCTGGTGTTCCTTCAGCAGGCGGGACAGCATGGTCGCGGCGGGCTGGGGGCTGGGCACGCCAGGCCCCCTCCGACTCCAGGAGCTGGAATCCGCACCTCGGCTCCCGCGGGGCCCGGGTCACGTGACCGCAATGTCACGTGAGGCCAGGACCGCCCCCTTTTGAGAGCGGGGGTGGAGGGTATAGAAGATCTTGGCTTTGAACCGAGGGATTAGGAGAGGGTTGGGGGCAAATGAGCTCTGGTTTTTTGCTGGGGGTCCCTTTTTTGGGAGTGTTGGGAGAAGTTTTCTTTAGTGCGCGTATCGCGGAGCCCGTTTAGATCGTCTCCTTTGGATCTCAGGGCTCCCGGGGAGGGTCGCTACTGCCGGGCTGTGCATCATTGTTCCTTTACTGGGGGAGCAGAGGCTCCCTGGACTCATTGGAATTCTTTTCCTTTCCTCGTCTTTCCGTCCTGGCAGCTCTGGTCGCTTCTCCGTTGGTTCTCAGCACCCTCCCTCTGGGAGGGAATGCTTTCTTCTCTTTTCCAGCCCCTTCGCTTCTCACCACCCTGCCAAGATCCCTCAGCTCTGGTGATCACTGTAGAGAAGAAGCATTTTCGGCATTTCAAGCGGCCTCTTAGGGAGCTTTGCTAATTTGGCTGGCTATGTGTGGTGAATGTATAATCCCATCTCTGTCCTTTTGTGGTCAGGGAATGCGAACCCTTTCAGTCTTACCA